CACCGGTCTCTATTCCTCCTTTTACCCCGTCTTCCTCTACTTCTTCTTCGGGACATCCAGACACAACTCCGTGGGTGAGCTGAGGGATGGGGATGGTGGGGAGGGAGCGAGGATGATGGGGGCAAGTCTTCATCCACAGCACGGCATTACCACATCAGCAGCTGGGGGGACCTCTCTTGCCCTTAATTTGCCCCAAGAAGGTGGTCGGCCGTACCGAAGCCAAAGCACAGGGGGTGCGCTTTGAGCCTGGCCCATGGGGACGAGTGCCTCTGGACCTCAGCAAGGTCCTGGTGCTGGCCCTGGTCTCTATGCCCACACCCTGCCTGTCCCCAGGCCCCTTTGCTGTCATCTCCGTCATGATCGGGAGCCTGACAGACTCCCTGGCACCCAGCGAGAACTTCCTGGAGTCCGTCAACGGCACCAACATCACGATAGTCAACGAGGAACTACGCGACGCTGTCAGGGTGGAGCTGGTGGCCACCATCACTGTCCTGACAGGCATCTTCCAGGTAAGGGGGCCCCAGCCCCACCTGGCAGGGAGCGGGGGGCCATGGTGCCCCTTGGCCGTGAGCTGTGGGTCACTCCTCCTGCCGCCTGTCCTTCCAGGTGGCCCTGGGCCTCCTGCAGTTTGGCTTCGTGGTGACCTACCTCTCAGACCCACTGGTGCGCGGCTACACCACCGCTGCCTCCGTGCACGTCCTCATCTCCCAGCTCAAGAACGTCTTTGGGGTGTCCCTGGGAGAGCACTCGGGGCCAATCTCGCTCTTCAAGGTGAGTGGGAGTTTGCTGCTGCCCTGGGACCCCCAAGCGCTCACCTGTGGGGCACACAGAGGCCCCCTAAAACCTGTTGGGGAGGCATCAGCTTTCCTGAGCCTGTTCCCTCCTGTGTCCTCTAGACCTTCATCGAGATCTGCCAGAAGCTGCCAGAGACCAATGTGGGCACCCTGGTGACGGCCATCATTGCCATGGTGGCCATCTTCATCGTCAAAGAGCTCAACCACAAGTTCGCTGCCAAGCTGCCGATGCCCATCCCCATCGAGCTTATCACGGTACCCAGAGATGCCCCCTCTCCCCGTGGGGATGCAGCTGTGTGTGGCCCTGTCCCCTCCAGGGCTGGGAGGGGTAGGATGGGGGGCCATGGCGAGTGCAGCTCCAGGGCACATGCCTCCTCCTCCTCCACGGTCCCTGTGCAGAAAGGCCCTGCCTCACTCCCGCCATCCTCCCCCAGATCATCATCTCCACCGGCATCTCCTACGGCGTCAACCTGAACGCCAAGTTCGACATCTCCGTGGTGGGCAACATCCCCAGCGGGTGAGCAGGGCCGGGCGGTGAAGAGGGGCTGTGCCAGGGCACCGTGCTGCCCATGGGACCCCCTTTTTGATCCCCATCTCCACGTCTTGACCGTAGGTTGAAGCCGCCCGTGGTCCCTAACGTCAGCTACTTCGGGCAGGTGGTGGGCAACGCCTTCGCCATCGCTGTGGTGGGCTACGCCATCTGCATCTCCCTGGGCAAGATCTTTGCGCTGAAGCACGGCTACAAAGTGGACAGCAACCAGGTGATGCTCTGACGTGCCAGGCCCCTTCCCGGGGTGAACAACAAGCTTGTACTCCTCGCAGCCAGGGGAAGGCACAGGGCTCACCCCCTGCTGCCCTGTCCATGCAGGAGCTGATCGCCCTGGGCCTCTGCAACTTCCTGGGGGGCTTCTTCCAGTGTTTCGCCATCAGCTGCTCCATGTCACGGAGCCTGGTGCAGGAGAGCACAGGGGGCAACAGCCAGGTGGGTCTGGGCTGCACTGCCTCCCTCCGTGGGGCTACACCAGGGGCAAGGAGCACAGCGGGTGGGGGGGGGCTCACCGCTCGCCTCCCACTCTCCTTCCCCTCAGGTAGCCGGTGTCATCGCATCCCTGGTCATCCTGGTGACCATCCTGAAGATCGGAGAGCTCTTCCGGGACCTGCCCAAGGTACACGTGGTCCTGTGCCACCCCTGTGCCGGTCCCATGGCAAGGTGGTGTGGCAAGGGGACAGCCAGGGGGACAGGCAGGGGGACAGCCCCTCCCAGACTTGCCCCCAGCGCCCTCCCAGCCGCAGGGATTTCTCTCCTAGGCCATCCTGTCTGCCATCATCATCGTCAACCTCAAGGGCATGTTCAAGCAGTTCAATGACATCTGCCTGCTCTGGAAGTCCAACCGGGTGGACCTGGTAAGGTGCTGACCAGCCCCGGGGCTTTGCTCTTGTCCCCGGTGGGGGTTTCTCCACCCTTCCCAAGGCTCGCGGGTGCCGGCGGGGAGGCCGTGCCGCAGCCGCCTGCGTTCCCTCTCCAGATCGTCTGGATTGTGACGTTCGTGGCCACCCTCACGCTGAACTTGGACATCGGCCTGGGGGTCTCGGTGGCCTTCGGGCTGCTCACCGTCATCTTCCGCACCCAGCTGTGAGTTCAGTGGGGCTGGGGCCAGTGCCACGTCCTGGGGGGCAAGTCAAGCCCGTGGTGACCACAGCCCCGCGCTCTGCTCCCCGCAGCCCCCGCTACTCCATCCTGGGGCGCATCTCCAACACCAGTGTCTACAGGGACGTGGCCGAATACCAGATGGTAACAGCACCGGGGGGCAGGAGAAGAGCTGCCTGCAATGGGGGGGCAGTTCAAAGCCCCCTCGGGGGCTGTTGGCCGGGGAAAGGAGTGGAGAGCATTTTGGGGGAGGGCGGGAAGGGGCACAGGGGGTCCATCCCTGGGGTAGCCACTCCCCATCTGGCCGCAGGCACAGGAGGTCCCGGGCGTGAAGATCTTCCGCTCCTCCGCCACCCTCTATTTTGCCAACGTGGAGCTGTACGCTGAGGCGCTGAAGAAGAAGGTAGGAGAGCTGCCAGACCCCGGTGCTCCCCGGGGGTGGCGGTGGGGCGCCTGGGGACACAGGACTGCCCTGTTTTCCAGAGCGGCATCAACGTGGACCGCCTGATCGAGAAGAAGAAGAAGGCCCTCAAGAAGCTGAAGAAACAGCAGAAGAAAGCAGAGAAGGAGAAGGCAAAGAGGAAAAAGGTGTTTTCCTGCGGCAGGGGACCCCCTCC